GCCAAGGTGGCGCCTCGCCACTGACGCCCCGACATCGGCAGCCAGGTACGACGCAGCGATCTCGCCCCTAGTCACGACGGCCCTCTCCCGCTCCGGTGGTGCCGCTGCCCCATGGACATCTCGTCCCGAGTTCTTGCCAGCCAGCGTCAGACGGACCACCGGTCGCACCACCGCCACAGCTCAGAGGCGATTGCTCCCGTCTGTCACCATGCGCATAGCATGCGCTTTTCGTGGCAAGGGCGGGTTTGGCAGCCCGTGGACCGTCTCAACCTCACCACGCACGGCGTGGCCATGTCTCCAGTGCCGACCTCCGTCCGCACCGCTCTCTCGGACCCGTCCTGGCGTCACGCCATGCAGGACGAGTTCGACGCCTTACTCGCCAACGACACACGGACTCGTGCCTCGCCGCCCGGCGTCAATCTAAATCACCGGCAAGTGGGTTTTTCGTCATAAGTTCAAGGCGATGGCTCTCTTGATCGCTATAAGCCCGGCTGGGTTCTTGGCGGCTTCACACACAGCGTCCGGGAGTTGATTATGATGAAACATTCATCCAGTTGTCAAGCCGACCACCATCGAGATGGTTCTCACTTTGGCTCTGTCTCGCTCCTGGCCTATTCACCAGTTCGATGTGAAGAATGCTTTCCTCCATGGCACGCTGAACGAGATAGTATACTGCGTTCAGCCTACTGGGTTCGTTGACTCGACCAAGCCCAATTATGTCTGCCGCCTGAACAAATCACTATATGGATTGAAGCAAGCTCCTCGCGTCTGGCACAGTCGCTTCGCCTCTCATATCACCTCTCTTGGGTTTGCTGAGGCCAAGTCCGACACGTCACTGTTCATCTACTGCAGAGGTGCTGATATGGCTTTTCTTCTCCTTTATGTTGATGATATTGTGCTTACTGCATCCTCTCCGAGTTTTCTCCACCGGATTATCGCAGCACTTCGTCAGGAATTTTCTATGACAGACATGGGGCCTCTTCATCATTTTCTGGGTGTCAGCGTCCAGCGCCGAGGTGTGATCTTTTTTCTCTCTCAACGCCCGATATATTTGGAGATTACGGAGCGGTGGCATGAGTAAGCGCAAAGCAAGCAAAGCACTCTGTGGACACTCACTCAAAGCTTCCTGGCGATGGTGTTTGATCTCGATCCCGGCCGATGATCGCGATCTTCTTTGGGGCTCTGCAGTACCTCACTTTCACCAGGCCCGACATCGCTTATGCAGTTCAGCAGGTCTGCTTGTATATGCATGACCCTCGGGAACCTCATCTGAGCACTCTGAAGCGTATTCTTCGGTATCTTCAGGGTACTTTGGATCTTGGGCTACACCTTCACCGGACCTCCCCAGCTGATCTCACTGTCTACACCGATGCAGATTGGGCGGGTTGTCCCGACACACGTAAATCCACCTCGGGTTATGCGGTGTTTCTTGGCGACAATCTCATCTCTTGGTCGTCCAAGCGTCAGCCGACAGTGTCTCGGTCCAGTGCAGAGGCGGAATATCGAGCAGTTGCGAATGGAGTTGCCGAAGCTTCAGCTACGACGACCTTCTTTGCTAAACTTCATTTGTCCACTCCGTCGCGCTTCTGATGGTTTATTGTGATAATGTCAGTGCCGTTTATCTCTCCACCAACCCGATTCAGTATCAGCGAACCAAGCATATTGAGATTGATCTACACTTCGTCAGGGAGCGAGTCGCCTTCGGTGAAGTTCGCGTTCTGCACGTTCCCACTACGTCCCAGTACGCCGACATCTTCACGAAAGGTTTGCCGACGTTCGTCTTCACAGAGTTTAGGTCCAGTCTTAATGTTCGCGGTGCTCCCAGTTCAGACTGTGGGGGAGTGTTGGAATGTAATATGGCAAGTGGGCTTATCCACCATGCCTATATATATATATGTACACTGACTCATCACAATAATTAAGGAGAATTCCCCAAATCATTCTCTATCAATATAAAAGGGATTGTTTTACATATGACAAAGGCCATTTCACCAAGATCTAATAAAAAGTCTGAGCAGTCATATTCCAGTCTCCCTCAGAAGGAGACCTGAGCAGCGGCTGAGCCCCTGAGGTGAGGCAGGCAGGCAGAACACAAGGCAGCCTCAGCCTGCATGGACGGCATGGCAGCAGCGTTGACCACCGGGCGGCATGTCACATGTGGCCGGCTTAGGTTGCTTAAGCCGCTGATTGCTTAAAAGTAAAACGAGTTTTTGGATATAGGACATGTTTTTTTGTTTGACTGAAACGAGATGTAGGTCATATTTGATTGACCAAAGCCTTTCTAAAAAAATATTTGATGGACCAATAAGTTTCCCTCCATTTAAAATAGCTCTTATAGCTCATTTTTATAGTAGAAAGCAGTAAAAAATTGAGGGATATGCATGGCACCAACCCTAACCGCGTTGCATGGGAACATCCTACACTGCTGTTCTGGAAACACAAGAGCACGCGCATGGGAACATCTCTATCGTCATCTGAGCCGGCCGTCTGGAAGGACGCGACGTTTCGTCACGGCGCGAGGAAAAATGTGACCATCGCCATGCTTCACCGTGACAACATACACACGGTACGAGCCGTGGGACGCGTTTCATCCGTAATGTACACCGTGAACCACTAACCGTGCAAGTGCAACATGATACTGTCTGTTTCTAGATAAATCAATTTCTAGAATGTTTGACTAATTTTAAAAATTATACCATATACATATGACACCAATTAAATACACCGTAAAAAATATATTTTATGGTATCTCAGTGGTACTGATTTGAAAAAAAAAGTCAATTTGAGATGATTACTACGTCCATTCTAAATTATAAGTCATTCCAACATTCTTGGAAAGTCAAAACATTTAAGTTTGAACAAATTTATATAATAAAATAATAACATTTATAATACCAAATAAGTATTATTAGATTTTTTATTAATTATATTTTCATAGTATAATTATTTGGTGTCATAAACCTTTATAATTCTCTCTATAATTTTGGTCAAACTTATGATGCTTTGACTCTCTAAGAAAGTTGGAACGACTAATAATTTGAAATAGATGGAGTAATTTATTTGACAATAGAAGTAGTATATGAAAAAAGGAACATGGAGGTAGATATATATTCCCTTCCCTTCCCTGGAGGCCTAGACACAGTTTGATTTGTCACGGTCTGGTAGGCCAACTACACCCGGAAAAACGAAACTAATACGTGTGGAGCTTTGACCATTGTAGCTGAATATATAAAGTCGCCGCTCGCCATCAGTGGCCATGGCCACACACAGGACTGAGGAGTAGGACCAGAACGCCGGATGGGGATGGACTCTGGCCAAACCAAACCACCACCGCCATGCAGCTGGGCGGCTCCAACCCCCCTGCACTGCACGGCAGCCTATGCAGCCTATGCAGCGGCACCGGTCAGCACTCACCATGCACCCCACGACGAGAGCCCAAAGTCTGACTAGGACAAGGACAACACCAACCAACACCCTGGTTGTTTGAAGGGATTGAAACCAGCGGAGTGATCTGCCTGCCCAAAGGTGCTGTGCATTGGTTTGGTCGCCCTGCCCTTACGTGGCTTGGCTGCTTGCATTGGCTAGTGTCATCGTGCATGTCATCTTCACCCTTCACCTTCAGTCATGGTCCGGTCGTTGCTGCTCTGCGAGCGGCGACTCTCTCCATGTGTATGCGTACGCATCTCCTGCCTTTGACTCCGGAGGTCACAAGGAAAAGTATGGAGCGATTCCTGGATGATAGTATAAAGTCTTTTTTATATATATCTCCTCGTGTTGCTGCTAGCTAGCACAATAAAATAAATAAATAAATAAAATAAGTGTTTATGCTTGTTCGTCACACACGGATCAACGGTGCCTTGCTTTTGGGGTCAAGCAACCGGCCGGCCGGTCTTGTGCGGCTCCTTTCGTAGTTTCGTTGCGATCTTGGGGAGGACGTGTGTGGACTGGCTGATGCCGTCGTTCGCGTTGGCTGACCGACCTGCAACTGCAACGCCGTGGCCCGTGGAACCAACACTTGCGCGTGCTACATGGTCGACACACACACAGGTGTGGACGCCGTGCTAGTGCACCCCCATTTTCAGCTCTACCTTTTCCCCGTCTTAGTTGCCACTCAGCGTTTGGCACTCACTCCACTCCAGCCAGAGGGATGATCGGAACGGATAGCCCCTGGGATTCCCGTGTCAAATCGTGGCCCGCCCGGCCGTGACAGACACCTGCAGACGGTTTTTACGTGTGCGAAGCTATTGCTTTCCTATCCGATCCTATAGCTGTGAAATTAAGGGCCGCAGGATTCTGAATCCTTGAAAACGGCTGTAATTTATCAGGTAACTTGTACATAAAAACAATGAAGCGTGGCATGGCCATGTCTTAATCCTGACCTCATTCCTCACGCGCTTTCCTGCTTTCCAGACGAATCAGCTTTTCGACCCATGCCAATATGCCACGACAGCCATCTCAAACAGCAGCACGCAATCAACCACAACGTTGAAAAGGCTAGTGGCAAACATGAGTACATGACCACCAAGTGTGATTGGTCATTACAATAGATGAGAATCAAAACCCAACATCGTTCAGTGTGACTCAGACACAAACCACCATATCGTAATAGATGAGAATCAAATATGAGATGATGCCCATCAGTCCATCACATTCAGGTTGCAGTTGCAGGGGGGTTATGTCAACCTGTTGTTCTTTTGCATCAGATATTACCAGGGCTCCATGGGCAAACAGTTGATGATTCAAGTTACCAGGCACAAAAGCGAAAGTTGAGAAAAAGAGAAAGAAAGGAAACGAACGAACTCTGAAGTTATCATAAGCGAATTTCACTTGAGTCCCATGGGCCATGGCACGACCTCCCCCTATATATATATATATATATTGTCTTGATATAATAAACGGCCACACGAAATGGCTGAGCAGGAGCATTAGCAGGCATTGTGTTCTTATATTATAATCAATGGGATGCAATTTACAGCTCATGTACTGGCCATAAGGATGGTTCACCCAGAGCAGAGCTTTTCGAGAGCCATGTTCTCGTCGCCATCGACGCTCTTCAGGGTACTTCTCACCAGATCCTCTGGGAAGCCCATCTCAACCAGCTTCTGCACCTGTACACAAGTGCAAACAAAGGGTGACCACCGCTGACAAACACGTATGCGTCTTGTATATACACAATGGAATGATAAACAGTGTTCGCAGTACCTTCTCTTCCATGCCAGTTGACGCACTCTTTGCGAAGGCCTCTGTCCAGTAGTGAGCCGTAGCAGCAAATGTTGGATAGTCACGCAGGTACTGCAGAAACAGATCAACATAAATAAACTAATGGGGACAAGGTCTGCAATGGTGATTCAGTTAAGTATATCTCATAAGTGAATATCGATTCAATTAGCTATCTCAAAAGCTCTATTGGACTGGTGCTCCCATTCATCATTGATGTGAAATTTTGGATGATATGATTATATTTATTATTGCAGTGAATATCAATTCAGTTAGCTATCTCAAAAGTTCAGATATTATTATGCTTACATTCAGCATCACTTAGTCTTAGACACGGGGTACAAACTCCAGAAGGGAATTACTAAGGCCCATCCTGTAGTCTACATAATGCCTCGTCTGGGATGACTGGGAATGCCCTATTCGCCTAGTCTGGCTAGCAAAGTAATAGCCATCAGAACATCACTGGTACACTCCACCAGAAAACACCTAGCTGTGTTGCTGAATAATTGACAACTTTTATTCACTACATTTATGTCAAATATGAGGTACTTCCTTCAGTTCCTTGGAATTGCCTATCTTTCAGTTCAGTCCAGGGCATGCTTAATGGTAAATAAGATAGTACAGAAGTGGACTTCACATAGGAAAATAGCTGATTAGAAACTTCTTACACTCAGATTTCCACAAAGCCATACTAAATGAATAAGAGCTTGTTGAAAACCGAAGTGAACAACCTTACACGGTTACACCCTATCTTACCGTCTAGCATCTGCATTAACGCTACACAGAGAATATACGAAGTAATTTAACAACAGGGGAAATCCAAATAGAGAGAAAAGGTTATCAGTTGTCATAATCACAAACATATTCACTGGTGTAACATTACAACTATATAATTGCCAAGGGTGCTGCAGGCACTAGCTCATGTGACGGATGCTACAAAACTCACTTTGAATGGCCATGCCTACTTTGCTGCTATTCAACCAGGGCCACAATAAGGCAGTGGTGCATATGTACATAAGCAGTTATTCCTTTTTTTTTCGGAAAATGATAAACAGCCATCCCGATTCATTGTTCAATGAAACCCACCAAAAGGGCAGCCTATCTCAATTTAGCTCCCAACCAACAGTAGCTTCACTGGCGATATTGTAATGCAGTAAAAATAGAACCAAATAGGAAATACTCAGTTCAGACCTGTTGCGCAACAACAGCATCCTGAGGATCATCAGGTGCAGGAGAAGAAAGCAGAGCTTGAAGGGAAAGGAGCGCTGTCTTCAAGGTAAGGGCTGGGCTCCACTGATCTTTCAGAATGTCCAAGCAAATTGCTCCATTTTGGCTGCTGATGTTAGGGTGCCTTCAAAATAGATTGGAGAAGTCAGAGCTGTACCAAAGAAATGGATATAAAATATCCATCAGCGCTAGTTGCACTTGCTCATGATCAGAGGAATCGTATCGACTCACATATGTAGGTACATTATGTAACCAGGATGATAATTCAGCAATAAAAATACAAATATACAAATAACATAGCAGGGAGTAAACTGTCTTACCATACTTTGGTGACAAACTGCATCTTCGGAGGCTCAAAAGGATATCCACCTGCCAACCAAAGACCAAAGGCCAATCAGGCAGTAGCACTTGCACACTGTACTCTCTGACTTTTACTTTTGTATCCCCAAGTAATTAGCACATGACCGTACACAAGACATTCAACACTGGGAGTAAGTAACAAAGGAGATTATGCACGTGTAGACTTGGAACATACGGATACATCTGCCTGCTGAGATACGGTGCTTCACTGCACAACGATGCAAAGGTGAATCCGCATACTGCGATGCGGCCAGCGAAGGTGAATCCATACCCTAACCCGGAATCGGGACCAGCCAGATAGCGCGGAGGGCGCAGACAGCAAACCCTAATCCGCCCTAAACCCCTCCCCGAGAGAACCAATCGCACGCCACATCAATCTACCCGCCCACGAATCGCCCCGAGGGAGTGGAATGGGATCCCGCGAGCGCGAAGAGGGGGACGGCAAACGAAGGACGGAGGGGGGGGATCCGAGGAGAGGAAGGCGCTGGAGGGGGAGGAGGAAGGATCGGCGGGTTGCTCACCGGGGAGGCGGATGTCGATGATGAAGGTGCCGCCCTCGTAGGGGCTGTCGGCGGGCCCGGCGATGGTGCCGGTGAGGTGGGAGATGTTGGCGCCGTCGTGGAGCGCGATGGAGACGCCCGACACCTCCCGGTCGCGATTGCACTCGGTGAGCTCCTTCTGCACGCGCGAGACATCCACCATCCTCGATCGATCCCTCCCTTCCTCGCGGCGCCGCCGTCACCTCCTCCTGGCTCTCTCCTCTGGAGCGGCGCGATGGGATGGGATGCGAGGAAGGGGAGGGTGAAGAGGGTTGGGGTGGGAGGATCAGGAAACGGCAGCACCACCGCCACGCTACTAATAATACGACCAATGGTAATACTAATATTAATACTCTGGTAGTAGCAATAATCATCCTCTAGATTAGAGACCGTTTAGATGCATTTGCCGCAAAAGATTTGCCCCTAATCATTTGCTACCGTTCAGACTTTAGCACCATGTGTTTAGATCGATGACAAATGTTTAACACTATATAAAAAAGATTGATTTGCCGGCGGCGTTGACAGGAGGCAAGGGAGGGCCACGGCCTCCTCCACCGCCACTGCGAGCCGCGCGTAAGCCGAGGGTACGACTACCGCTACGGACGCGAACGGGAGGGGGCCCATGCTGCTGCCGATGCCTCCATCTTCAGAGCCGGAGTGAAGGATGCCCTGATAGGCTACCATTCCGGGCCACCCTTCGCCCTGAGAGTTGAGGTCGAGTTGCTCCATGCCCAACTGGGGAGCATAGATGTTGCTCGAGCCAGGAAAAGGATTAGCCGCGTCGGGGAAGATTTCGTAGCCGCTGGTGGGGGAATATGGATCAGGCTGCGACAGGAAGTCCCTCGTGTGGAGGGAGAGAGTGAGAGCGGCAGGGGGTGAGTGCGGGGGAATGGATAAGGGTACCGAGCGGGGTGGGTGGGTGCGGGGGTAGTGGACGTCCACCTCACGCCCCCAGGCGTTTTAGCTCAGTTTTGGACCTCTTGGTAGCAAATGGCAAATGTTTAGTATTTCTAGATTTGCTCTTTTTTGCTCCACTTGTTTAGATCAATTTGCCCAAAACATGGGCTAAAAGTCGTGGGCAAAAGTTTTACCAAAGAAAATAAATAGGGCCTTAGTACTACCTTCGTCCTCAAAAGAATACAACTATGATTTACGTGCCACAAAAAGTGATTCACGTTTAACCAAGTTTTTAATAAATAATATTTGCATTTATAGCTTTAAATTAATTTATTATAAAAATATATTTCGTAATTAATCTGATAGTATTTATTTGGTATAGTAAACATAGATATTTTTTTATTTATAATTGGTCAAACACAAGATACTAAAATGTGATATTAGGTTAGAATTGCAAGGACGGAGGTAGTAATTTGTTTGTTGGATGAGCGGAGAATCTTTCGGATTTGGAATTTTGGTTGCTTGCCTTGCGCTGCCGGCAATTCCTAATCTCTTCCCTGCAGTTTGTTTGTTTAGGTTCATCCGTCCAGTGTTTGGTTCTATCGATGATGGGGCTGGGTGTCGAGATGATGAGACTACAACCATGTTTGGTTTGTTTAACATTTTTTTCTTTTTTTATGTGGATCACAGTATAAAAAAGTTACCAAAGGCATCTCATCGAGTCATCGTCGACAAGAACATTGACTACAACTAAAAGAACAATGCTGTTAAATTATAGAAAAATTTTAGAAAAATATGAACACTAGTGTCAAGTCAGAAATTTAAATCCAAATGAACATGTTACACCACAAGAAACCTAACGAGCTGAGCTACACGAACTCCAATATGCTCTGGCTATATATCTAACCCATTACCCATGTCAAGTCAGAGACATAGGAACCAGCAAGCTGAGCCACCACAAGGAACCAAGACCAGGCTAGTCATTTTCACTCTATTGTTTTGGCAAGAAGAACCTAGCCAGCACACACCCAAATGTGCTCTAGCTATATATCTAAATTAGCATCATGCTTTTACAACCTTACTTGGTGAGGTCACACAGTGCCAAGCAAAGCAACCAAATTTGCCCTACACTTCTATTGTTTAGCTAAACCTTTTTATAAAATAGTTGGTTAGAGCATCTCCAGATAATTTTCTAAAACTCACTCTCTAAATCATTATTTTGAGTCATTTCAATAAAAATCGTTCGCTATATCTTTTCATCCTCCAACAATTCCTCTATATCTTGTGTGGACTCTAGAGATTTTGGCTAACGAGAGAAATATGAAATAGAGAATAGCAATATTTAGATATCTAATTAGAGAAGTTGTTGAGAGTTTTTTTAACAAGATCTCTATTCCTATCAATTAGGAAAGACATAAATAGCGAACTGAGTGTAACTCAGCTGGTTGGGTTCCTTGTGGTGGAACCTGTCCACCTAGGTTCAAGTCCCCGGCTTGACATGGGTGCTCGCATTAGCGAGGCACCTATGGCGACTTCGTCAATCTCGAGATTTGTCGGTCCAACTCAGTTCTTTAAAGGTGCTCATAGGAATAGGGTGTGCGTGTGTGCGTTTATAGGGGTAAGTGTGTGCTCGTGTATGTATAAATAGGCTCTTGGAGTCGCTCTAACAGTTTTTATTAAGTTGAACGGTTGAATAGTCTAAAATGAGCTATAAGCTATGATGTTTAGATCGGTTAAAGGTATAGATTTTTATAGCAGCTAGCAACTTAATTTTAGTCATCCATACATGCTATTTAGGGTCTTTTTAAAAAATCAAATTCAAACCCAACTTCATCTCAAAAGAAAAGAAAAGAAAAGAAAAGACAGGAACTTGTTTCACAAGTTTATTATGTGTTTGGTTTGTTGAATCACCACATGCTCCATATGGTGTCACATCATGAGTTAATGTCATGAATTTTGGTGGAATCAACCCATTCCTCATATATATACTAATTATTAGCTTGTGACAAAAAATTGAAGAGTGAGTAGATGATGGACCACCTTCAAACCAAACATGCCCTAAATGCATATTGTCACGACCTGAAACCACCGCAAAATTTTTGTTGGTAAACTCTCTTTATTAAACCAAAAGCTGAGTCTCTGTCCAACTCTTACCCAAACAGAACCTCCTTTGTCACAACTCTTGGTCAGATGTGCTCTCTAGTTGTCCCTTTTGGACGCCCCCTTATCGACCCACTCCTGTTCTCAATGGTTACCCTAGTATTTACACTTAATCTTATCAAGTCGATACTTAAGCTCTAAACGTAGGAACCCTAACCATCCCTGGGTGATTGACCACCCTCAATTCCAAGTCATCAAGAGCAAGCACTTCACCAACAACTACCACCTAAGTTGGAGCAAGGCAAGACCTATGGCGGACGCAAGCCAGAGCGATATGATAAGTTTCTTCCAACAACTATCTAATGCTTCGAGAGTAGCTCTTGAGGTGTCATTGTTGCAAATTTCTTCCTCTCTCTTAGTACCGATGCTAGCATGCTATTCTTGGCTGATAAGTTCCTAGCATTTTTCTATCCACCTTGTTGTCATCCAATCCTTGTTTCCAAGTGCTCTAATCTTTAACTAGTACCATGAGCCTATAAAATATCATGGTGATGGTTTCTCCATTGAGCATAATTGACAAATCTTTCTAACTCTTCATGAATGAGCTCAATCTTTATTTATCTGACATTCTTGTCGCCTTCATAGTATACTATGAGTGTATCCCAAGTGTCTTTTGCAAACTCAAGCCTATTGACCTTGTTGAACTCATCTTGACTTAAAAATGAGAATCATGGATGCAACTTGAGCATTGTGGTGGATGTCTTGAGCTTCTTCTAAAGTTAGTGGCTCGTTGCTGCCTTTTGGAAGGTTAGCATCTGAAACGATCCATGATTTCCTCGAAGGAAAATCCACAGATTACATCATAATGTGATAGTCCAGGAAGACCAAGCTGTCATATCATCATTATTCAGTTGATATCACAGTTCATACATCGTGGAATTACAACACTTGGTAACACACCTAAGTATAACGTATACTAGCAAAAACGCACATAGATCAGCACCAGAGTAGACATGGCGTGTCGATGGGTGAAGTCTCCTCCTTCACGGGCAATCATCAGAGTAGGCGTAGAGTATCAGCGGGTGTAGACTTTATCTCCTCAACCAAATTTGAGCGTAGGAATGAGACCATCTAATCATTCTAATCTTCGTTGTCATCATCGTAAATGACATCCGAACCTATCAAATATCTTTCAGTATGATTTATACTGGCCACTGGCTCCCACCCTATGCTTAGCGTATGCTTTGTGGTAAGTGAAATGCAAGGGTAGAGCAAAAGGCCTATTTATGGTTGTAGTTTTCCTATGCAAGTTCATCAATATTTCAATATTTTATAATAGTTCATCAAATTTTATCCCATATCATCCACACCCATCCCATCACACACATCTCACCACACTCTCACTCTCTAGGCGGCAAGGACAACTCCCTCTCGTGCCTTGCCTCAACGGCCAACGCCGGAAACCAACAACAAACCCAGGGGGAGAAGAAGAAAGGACTCCACTCACTAATTAAGGGAAGCATAGGTCATAGGAATATCCATATCCATGGACACGACTATACGTATAGATCGATCAACTCTGTAGAGCGTGTACACCTAGAACCAAAAGGTCACCTTCATCGACGGTGGCCACCGTCTGGCTGATACCGGGCTGCCTCCCAACCGGTACGATGCCACCCTATCACTCAGCCCTGAGTCACCCCGAAGTCCACCGGCATGCTGAGACTGTGAGATGTAGTACCGGGCCCTCAAGGTCACTACATTGTCTTAGGAGGGTGTGAGCCATACGCCCATACCTCCCTACACTATCACCTACATCCTAGGCAGTAGTGGCACCGCCCTAGCTAGTCAACATTCGTCCCTCACCCATTCAGAAACGAGTGGTGTGTACGTAGGGTCCTATGATCTAGTTCTCTCGACATACCAATCCTTAGGGGCACCATACAGGACGTCTTCTCAAGTGGGGTCAACCGACACCCCGTGCCTCGATGGCACCTCCTTCGTGGGGGCTCACCCCTGCGAGGCAACTCAGGATCTACTCCACTCACATGTACCCACCACAGGTACCTCTCATCTTAGAGGATGCTTAGGTCACACCCTCCCAGCAAGACTTGTCCCAAGTACTCGTCATAGAATCCTGTCCGATCGACTCAACCCTCACCACAC